ATATTAAAAGGGTATGTGAAAAACCGAAGTCGACCCGAGGGTTGTATTGCTGAATGATATATTGTTGAAGAAGCGGTTGAGTTTTGTACTGAATATCTGTCAAATGTTCAATCAATTGGACTCCCCAAATCTCATGTTGTTGAAAAAAAGGAAGGTAAGAAGCTAATTGGAAATAAAGTTGTGACAATATCAATGGTCGAACGGGATCAAGTGCATTTGTATGTTCTGCATAATGAGCTTGAAGTTGAGTCATATGTTGAAATGCACAAGGGTGTTCTTAGAGGTTTAAATCCGAATAGAAATGAGAATTGGATTGTACGAGAGCACAATCGAAGTTTCATACCATGGTTTAAGGAACATATTTATTCAAAGTATCATTCAAATCATGCTTCAGTAACAGAAAGATTGAGATGTTTAGCATACGGTCCAAGTTTAGTTGTGTTTTCTTATAGCGCATATGCAATTAATGGATACACATTTTATACCAAAGAACAGGATGACAAAAGTACTATGCAAAATAGTGGTGTCACCTTGATCGCTGAAGCAATGCATATATCAAGTGTGAAGGATTTAAACCCAAAATTTGCAAATCTGTCATATTTTGGGGTTATCGAGCGCATTTGGATGTTTGATTACGAGAAGTTTCAGATTCCTATATTTGGTTGCAAGTGGGTTGAAAATAATAATGGCATACGAATGGATAAGTCAAGTTTTTTGCAAGTGGATCTTAATAGGGTGGGGTACAAAGATGAGCCTTTCATTCTAGCCTCTCAAGCTAAACAAGTGTTTTATGTCAATGATCTGACAAGTACGAAATGGTCTATAGTGCTATTATCTAACAAAGTAATTGATGAAAGCATTGGAGATCAAAGTGATATTGGTGTTGACATTGAATCTTTAACCATAACTGATCAAAATGATAATGAATCATGTATTAGAAATGATCATAATGAGGGTATTTGGATCAATCTAACTGTCCGCGTTGTTAAGAGACGAGTAGAACACATTCCTACCAAGAAAAGAAAGAGACCTTAGTGAAAAGGGTAATAGTATATATAATTATAGCCTATATCATTCAATAAAATTTAATTTGTCATTTCATTTTTATTTGTCATTTCATTTTTATATTTGTCATTTCATTTTTATTTGTCATTTCATTTTTATTTATCATTTCATTTTTATTTGTCATTTCATTTTTATATTTGTCATTTCATTTTTATTTTTTTTCATTATTACAGGTCAAATGGCTAGTAATCAAGAAAACTCAAAAGATGCAAATGCTCCTGAAAATGCTCCTGAAAATACTCCAGAAAATACTTCAGAAAAGACTTCAAAAAAAGATATTACACGAGGTATAACTATTATGAGGGGAATCATCCATGATAGAGATAGAGGAGTAACATATAATGTAGATTGGAATGATAATGACCAACTAATTGGGTCTAATTTTGAAAAGTTGACAAGCTACATTGGTACGCTTGTTCGTATACACGTTCCGATCACCACTCCTAGATGGAAAAGAGGAGAGTTGGATGAGGCTAAAGAGAAAGTTTGGACTGAGATAAAGGTACATATATGGTTTTTGTTGTTTGCTTTATATTGACGATAATATGTGTTTAAATTTCTTTTACTAACACACTTTATGCGTATGTTTTTTTGTAGATGTCTTTTAATATTGAAGATACCCGTAAAAAGTATATGATGGGTTTGGCTGGAAAAAGACACAGAGGGTGGAGAACATTTTTAACAAACAAGTATCTTAAAGATGATGAAGGAAATTTTCTTGAAGAGGATCCGGAACGTCCAAAGAAATATGAGAACTTCATTACACCTGAAGAATGGGTTGGTTTTGTAGGCTAAAGAAGAGACGAGAATTTCAAGAAAGTGAGTGCTATCAATCGCGAGAGAGCGTCAAAACCCGCATATCCATACAAAAAAGGGCGTTTAGGATATGCTCACTTAGAGGAAAAAATTGTAAGTAAATATAAACTCTACGATCTTATTAATTCTCTCAATGTGTTATAATTGATGATCTTAAGACTTGTGTCAATACGTAGTTAGAAGAGACGAAAATTGACGCAGCATCACTACTGTTGTACCCCAAAATTTGCCCTCCCATTTCCTCAACATTTTCTCACCACAAGACCCTTGGAGCTCAAGATCCAGCTAGGGTTTCCTCTGCTCAAGACTTCTCCTTGCATTGTTGACCCAAATTAGGGTTTGTGTTTGCACAAAGATGTTTTGACCTAAAATGCCTAAAGTGACTTTCATGCTTCATGTTGGACTCCCAAGTTTATCCATACCAAGTTTCAAGTCTTGATTCCAAACTTTGCCCAGTCAATTGGACAGTTGACCTAGAAATCAACTATATTGGGGAAAAAGTCAACTGTGGCCAATTGACAGTCAAACCTCATGATTTTTGACCCACATCAACATATTGAACTCATATGGACCATTTGATCAAGTTTGGATCACAATTCCACAAGAAATTTGATCAGATCACCAAAAGGGCAAAATGGTCATTTTTAGGGTTTTGACTGCACAAAGGCAATTTTTGACTGTTTGACCTAGCCAATGGCAAACCAAGCTCACATATGGACTCAAGGACCCAATGGAATTGTCTTGACATGTTCAACAAGTTCAAAAGATCCCAAATGCACAAGATTGACAGATGAATTTTCCAGTCAATTGATCAATTTTTAATTGTATACTGAAAAGTCAAACTTTGACTTTTTGGTCAAAATCAAGTGTCAAGATTCATTTTCCATCAAAACATGTCAAATTATGAAACTTGTTCATCAAGAAATCAAAAATCACAAATTAGGGTTTGAAATGAAGAATTTTCATAACTTAGAATTTTTCTAAGTTATGAAAATCCCTAATTTTTTCCTAACTTTGTCCCATTTTTTCACCAAGATGAATTTGGATTCAAACAAAAGTCAAAACATGAAAGTTGTAGTCCATTGCAAAATCTACAACTTTGATACACAAAGTTTCCTCAAAAGAAGCTTGTAGCTCAAGTTATGGTTTTTGGAACAAGGGTGCAAAACATTCTTAACTTAGAAAAATTTTGACCTATTCTAGGCAGGATTTCTGCCTAACTTCATGGCCACTTTTCACATGCTTCCACTTGGAATTTCAATTTTCATTACAAAGATGGATTGTAATACACATTCCAAGCTTTCCAAAATGTCCAATAACTCATCAAACAACCTTGTGGTTAGGGAGAATCGAATTTGGCAATATGGGCAAAACTCACTTTGTTCATGAGCCATTTCCATGTCCATAACTTTGCATTTTTGAACTCAACATGCTCTAAGCTAGATTACATGCTGTTTATCTAATTTACACTCATAAATTTAATGCCAATCCTTTGTGTTTAAGCCTTATCTTGTGTGTTTAACCATTGCATACAAGATTGAGCCATAAATGGAAAAAACAATTTATCCATTTTTGAAAAGTTGAACTTTATGTCAAGATTGCAATCTTTGAAGTACAAGGAAAATCCTTTTGGCACAAGTTAAGGGACATAACACACTGATCAAGACTCAAGTGTGCAGCATACTTGAGGGGCCTAGGAGATCTTGTAAACCAACTTGCCATTTCTTGCTTAAGTTAGAAGAAACCTTGCATAACTCACAACAACTCTCATTGCTGCAAGAACTAGCTTAGACAAACTTGTTAGACACATCCCAAACAACATAACTGAGCTAAGGCATGACCAAAACACCTTCCAAACCTCACCATTCATCAAAACACCCTCCTACTGCAAAAAAACAGAGTCACCTCTGCAGTTGGACTTCCATAACTCAATCCACTCGTGCATTTTTACTAAAACCAGTTCATACACACTCCATACCACATATACAAGCTATCCCAAGCATTGGACACGACCTGTAACACCTCTAACCAACTTCACCATTTTCACTTTTTCTGTTTTGCAGGTTGATTGCCATAGCTTGATTCACTTGGTTTCAAAGCAAGCTAAAGGTTGCACTACGCCAAAAACGAGTTTTGGCACCGCTACATAGACAATGCTTATGCAAAAGCGCTGCTGTAGGTATCCAAAAAAAAAAACTTTAGACAACGCTTATTAAAAGCGCTGCTATAGGCCTTATCAAAGGCAACGCTTTTTCTCCCTAAGCGCTGCTATAGGGTTTTAAAAAAATTAAAAATTAAAAAATTAATAAAAGCGCTGCTAAAGGGTATGCTTTAGACAGCGCTTTCAAAAAGCACTGCTAAAGGTGTAAGTCTAAAAGCGCTTCTAAAGGGGGGGTAAACCTAAAGCGCTGCTAAAGGGGGGTACCTTTAGCAGTGCTTCTTGAAAGCGCTGCCTTTGTGTAAATCTAAAAGCGCTGCTAAAGGGGGGGTAAGCCTAAAGCGCTGCTAAAGGGGGGTACCTTTAGCAGCGCTTCTTGAAAGCACTGCCTTTGGTTTGTTAATTTATTTCTAAAGCCCTAACCCCTAAATCAGATTTCCAGAAACACAAAATTAAACCCATATCGCTGTCCATCTTCTTCTCCATTTGTCTCCTCCCAAACTCCCCCTGTCTCACTCCATTACTCCCTTTGTTCCGTCATCTCTCAAACCCTCCTCTCAACCGCTTCATCTTCATCGTTACCAACCACCACCATCAATTGTCAACCGTCTCCATCCTTCATCCCTTCGTCGTCCTCTAACCATTACCCTCCGCCTTGCATCAACGACACAATCACCAACACCAGCAGCCTCCTCCGTTGCATCACCTTCGAATCTTTGGCCCACGGCTAATTCATTTTTTCAATCCAAGTAAGTGTTTCTATCATTAAAGCCTGTGCTTCTGGATTCATTTTTTGGTGTGCATCGTGACTAGAGTGTTTAGTTGAATGTAGGTGATTTATGTGTTGAGATTTTCTGGATTCTGTGAGCTTTGGGGTTTGATTTAGGAATTTAGGGTTCAATAGTTAAGTGAATAGTATTCTCTTCCTTCTTTCCATATTAAACCCAAAGAAATAAATGTCATGGTGATATAAGTGATTCTAAATCTTGTCAACTCGAGTTTCCATAGTACCTGAGTAATGAATTATTTCCATTGCTTCTTGTAATTTGATACCCAATCACATTTCCTTTCTTTATCTTTTAATGTTTCCATTATTTGATAACCGTTTTTCAGAAAAGATTTTGCTTAATGAATGTTTTGGTTTTTAAACCTGGGATGTATGGTGTTTTTCTTTAGCAACAGCAGAAAGTTGGAGCATCAGGTGATGTTCAAGAATTTGGTCCTGATGTAAAAACAATAACTAAAAGGAGTGTCAATATGGACGCCGCTTTGGAGGACAAGATTTGTGATCTCTATGATATTTTTGTTGATGTACGTTGAGTTACAGATACTTATTGTGAAATTTCTGTTTTGTGATAAAACTTAATAGAACCATGCTTGCAATGGCTGTAGGGCTTGGATGAAAATGCAGGTCCACAGATCAGAAAGTTATATGCCGAGGCAGGTCTAGTTTTTAAAACGTATTTGAAATTTGGTCTAGCAGTTCTACTGGGTTGCCTTGTTTGGGGTTTTCTGGCTGAGGACAATAACTTAAACAACATGGTTGTTTGAATTCTTCACCTGCTTTCACTAAGTTCGATTTGTTTTCTTAACGCCTACTCAAAAATGGCTCCTAATTAATTTTAAGAATTTATTTATTGGCGTAAGAAGTACTTACTTCCGGAATTTCTCACCAAGTGTCAAACAGACATCTCTCTTATTCAAGGAGCATTCATGCTACTTACTACTTGATAGTATGCCTGTGTACTGAAAGTGTAGTTTATGATATCTCTAAGTTAATCTGTTTGCATTCCATAAACAGATATATTTATTCTTTTTAACCTTTTTGAATTCTGTCTTTATCAGCTTGCAGAATTATGGCCAACTGGTTACATGGACAACCATGGGATCAAACGTGGAATTTGCAGAGCAAAAGAGAGGCGCAGAGCATCATACACAAAAAATAAGGTATGTCTTTTGTAGTGAATAGGGATTTTTAATATTAATAAACAATTGTTCGAAGCTTATCTTCTTTCTTCTCCCCTTAGAGCTGCATATATCAAGAAAATACCACGTTGCGATATTTCAAGTAATGGTGCTGAATCTGAATGAATGAATGAACAAAACTATACCTATGGCAGCTGCATATCATGAAGAAATCTAAGCAGGGTGAGAGTTTAAGGCTCAAATATAAACGTTTACGTTATCGTCATTTCAAATATGTATGCATGTTTGTTGCAACTTCATTTTTTTTGAAATTCCACAGGCAGCCACTGATCAGACCAATGTCGATATCTTCATCTCTTTATTGTTTTGGTTTGAAAGATTGACAACAACCAGAAAAGTTAAGAAATAAAATAATCGGTATGTATGTACGAGACAATATATGAGAGGTTATTTAAATTAAATTTATCTATGCTTCTGTTATGATGACTTGGGCTTATTCTCAGCAGTTTAGAGATTCTGAGTTGTAGGGTCTTGGATTTTCTCTTATTTTTTATGCTTGGAAAAATTAGTAGTTGAGGTAGATACAAGCCTGATATATATGAGTGCCAATTTGATCATCTGATTGTTGTACTGAGGTAGATACAAGCCTGATATGGGTACTCTTCATTTGTGGAAATGTTATTGTGTTCGTCTGCAATGCTTGGATCCGGAGTGTCGTATCAGTAGGCTTCGCAGAGTTAGCTTGGTGATCGGTGGTCTGTTGCGGGATCTACACTGTAATCCAGTTCTTAAGCTTCGGCTGCTTGTGGTTCTGTTTCGGAGGTATCGATCGGGGTAAATTTGGCGTTGGGCATCTCTTCGGCAGCATTGTGAAAGTATTCAGAGTGCTGTTATGTGTTTTTGTTTTTGATGATATGCTTTTCTGTCTAGCTGCGGGTACGTGGTTAAGGTGACATTTGCAGTGTTTGGTTGCTAACTGCTGGTATAGGTGGTTTTTGTATCTGTATTAATTATTGTCATCAGTTTGAATAGACTATTGTTTCATTTTTTCCATTTTCTATCAGGTGGAACAATATTGTTCTGGTTTGTATTCTTTTTAAGCATTCATGATGCCTTAGTTAATTATAGATTCTTTTTTGCCCTTTCAAAAATAAAATATTAATTCTGAGCCTTGAAGTTGGCTTTCTATTTGGTCAAATTACTGGTGATATTGAAGCTGTAAAGAATTCTTTGCGGCAGCTCAGTAAACTAAAAGGAGAAGCCCCCCAATCCAGCCCTAAAAGTGAGGTCAACACTCACAAAAATACTACTGCACAGAATTGTTTTGATAATACTTGGCCATTGTTGTAGATGTACTGCTCTTGATAATAAGCAATGTATTATTAGTTCTTTAAGGAATCTTCTAATTCCATGATGATTCAATGTATTATTTAATTTAAGATTTATTTGTCACTTCCTTTTGTTAATTTAATTTTGTATATTATTTTAATCACATAGATATTTTGGCATGCTAATTACTGTGCTTTTCTTTCAACAGGCTGTAGAGGTATGTATGTATGTATATATGGATATATCATATAGATATAGATATAACTAGCTAATTTTTCATAGTAAAATGGAAAGTGAATTTTAACTTCACAATGTTTCTGATCCATTAGGGACTCCTAACTGAGTTCAAGACACCAAAGGCTGCAGATCCCTTGTTAGAGGAATATCAATTTCATTGGAGGTATATAAATGGATTACTTTCAGTCATTTTCTTTTCCGGGTTAATTTTCACTGCCATGTGTTGTACCCCAAATTTTGACCTAAGATACCGTCTTCCATCTGCGTTATTCGCATTGCAAGGGTTTTCACATATTTTATCAAATTTTCAAAGCAGTTTAAAAATTCATAACTTTTTCGAGTCGGGAGCTGTTTATTTGTTGAACGCTAAATTTATTAACTGATCAAGATTTAAATGACATTTATTAATTATTTATTATCTTAAATTTAAATAATTGGAATCTATTTTTCAATTGTTATATAATTTAAAGACTTATGAATAATGAAATAAGCATTTGAGAATGAGTTTATTAATTGGTCAACAATGATTATTTAATTCTTTATCATTTTAGATTAAATAATTAAAATTCTATTTTTAATTATTATAATTTGGAATTTTACGAATAATGAATTAAATAGTTGAATTTGTTGATTAGTCAATGATGTTTATTTATTTGTTTGTCATTCCGAATTTAAATGATTGGATTTGATTTTCAATCATTATATGATTTAAGGAATTATAAACAATAAATAAATAATTGGAAAGAAAAGGAATTAATTGGGAAATAATAGAATTTTTATTCACTTTATTCTATTTATTACAATTGTTGTTTAAATACTATTGTACAAAGTATTTATAATAACCATTACATAAATGCTTAAAGTAAAATAAAACTATTTTCCTAAATTCTAATTCTAATCTTCTATCCAATACTCTTTGTCTGCTCATTTAAATTTTACCTGCAAAAAAAAAAACGATTAAAAGAAAGAAATTAGAATTCGAATAAATAATTAAAATGCAGAAAATAAATTTAATGTTCATCATTAAAAGCAAACGGCCGGAATCAGTTTGCCCTTTTTGCAAATCGCGGGATTTCTCCCGGTTCACAAAAAGGGAGGAATTTTTATGAATGCATAAGTTAAAAAATAACACATTTTCAAAATCATTTGCATTTTTATCAAAAGGCCCACTGCATATTTCACATATGCCTAAATTCAATTTTGGTCAAAACTGCATAAGCATGAATCAACAGCATACATAATTTCAAACAAACATATGCATAACAAAAGCCAACGTTAACCTGCACCACAATAGGAGATAACATAGGCTAATGCAAGGCAAAAGAAAATGCCATTCCAACAATATGCAATTTCAAACATGTGCAATTTTAAAACAATGTATGCAAGCAACCTATATTTCCTTTTTTCATCATATTCCAGCCTATTACTTTTTCAGACAGCAGTACAAGATATCATATATATATCATTTCTGTACTTGAGGGAGAGAGAGAGAAGAGGTTCCATTTTGCAGGTTCTGGCCTAAGCATGAAATGGGAATGAAATCACATGTAGCAGCATATGTGCAGAGCATTAGAAAATATAAAATACTCAAACCTGAGCCACAAAAAGAGAAGCAACGGTCATATGAGAAAATCCCTTCAAAAGGAAGTCTAAGCTTGCATATCTCTGGAGAATCAAAAACCAGCATACTATACCAAACCATCTCTAAGCATTTGCAAAAAAAACCTGCATACTGCTATCATAAACAGAACCATAACCTGCATACTACACAGGACTATCAAGCGAAAAAACCATTTTTTTCAAGGCTAAACCACATAACCAGCATACTGCATAAAGCTATCAAATGCCATAGTCCATTTCAAAACATAACCAGCATACTGCATAAAGCTATCAAATGCCATAGTCCATTTCAAAACATAACCTGCATCAAAACTATTCAAAACCATAGTTCATGGCATAACTTGCATACTGTAGCAAAACCTTAGATAAACCAGTATAATCCAAAATCCAAAAAACCATTTATTCAATATTTCCAACCAGTTTTTTAGACGGAGAAGAAGAGAAGAATTAGTGGCAGAAAGCAAGGAGCGAGGAGTCTTCGGAGCTTACCTGACTTCGCCGGAATCGTACCGTCGGACTAGCTCCGACCATGTGAGTTTCTTCAGTTTTTCGCATAAACCTTTATACCGTTGCGTTGCCTTTGTCTCACTTAACAATACTCTCTTTAATTTCCTGAAATCATGTAAATGGCCATTTAATATCATTGCGAATCATCAATACATCAATCCCTATTTAACACCGGCAACAATTCGTTCGATAAATTTCAAGTTTATTAAATGTTGCAAGATCGATACACAATCACATATACTGTTAATTTAAAGCCAACTTGTAAAAAATACAGAAAATTCACAAACCTTTTTCAATTACTCATTCGGACTTCGCGGTTCATTACTACCATCTTCGTTCAATTCTCCTGTCGCTCTTAAATCCGCATCTGATACAACGATATCATCGCTTCTATACCCGAATTTTCGTCTTCATCACAGCATCACCACATTTTCATCGGGTTGTTTCTCTACTTCAATCACCACGTGCAACATTAGAAACAATTCGGATATAGAGCTTTTTCATAAAAAAAGAAGATTAAGAAGGCCACTTATATTAGAAAATATACACAGGAAGATCATAACATACCTTTAATCTCTGTTTCCATAACCCTCATGTTAAAACTTTTCTTCGACAGCATCATCGCGTTTGCATCATTGTGAACGATGCACATCTTCTGCGAATCCAACAAACCGTGCTAACAGTATCCATCATTATCTCCTCCTGTAATCACACCCTTTTACGGATTCAAATCCAAAACAAAACCATTATTTCGCCACAAAAGCATACCATTCAAATCTGAAATTTGAAAAAGAAAAGAAGCGAAGTACCTTTAACCTTCATCCGCTCTCTATCTACTTTATCCCCATCAATTTTCCACCTTCTCTCTGCAATCATCACCATCACCTTCTTCAACTCTAATACAACCGTCCTTCTTCTCCCGCTCAAATCGATGGAAGAACCTGTATTGCAATAGATTTTGGCTATCTGTCCTTGTTTCCTGACTTTGGTTAATGGAAGAATTGGAGGATCCATCACCGGCATATTTACCAACAGGAGGTTGAAGTCGGGTCCGCCTCTTATGCTCCAAACCACTCATACCCAGTCCAGGAGGAGCAGTTTTGGCAGGACCAGTTACATCTCGTCTTTCACTTGCAGATGGAGCATCCTGTACTTTTCTGATTTTTACCATGGTTTCTCCACTAGAAGAAGTTTGTAAATATTGTTTGGAAGAACTTGAAACAATTTTTTCGACCAAAACATTTGTCTCGTCATTACTACAGATCCAGATGATACGTCCCTGTTAGTTGATTCCATTTGGCCTAACAGAACTGTGTTATCTCCTTGCAAATTACCAACAAAGTTTCTAAGACGAGAATGAATTTCCGCTAAAACATATGACAATGAAGCTGAATCAGGTGGTAGTTGTGAGGTAGATATACTAAATCCAGTTGGTGTGCTACCAGCAGTTCCGATGCCATAAGGGTTAGATACGAGAGTGGTAGATATGTTATTTCTAACAGGTAAAACACGTGTAGAACCTGAATCACCAGAAACAGAACTTCAAGACATGCAAAAAGAGCAACGGCTCACAGATTCAGACAAAGAGAAGAGATGGAGAATAGAGCATCTTACCTCTCACGGCCATTGTGAACGCGACGCCTTTTCTGGTTACCCTGTTCCGCGTCCCTCGCTTAATCCCATCTTCATCAAACACAACATACGCTCTTCTCATCCAAATCGCATCCCTCGCTTAAATCATCTTCTTTTCAAATCGAAACGCTATCTCCTCGACCGACCTCCAAGACAGTCACCGGCGGCGGCCATGGTACCACTTCCCTAGGTTTTGTCGCTACAGCTTTTGTGTTCTTGGGTCTGGGTCTTTCCACGACCCGCTCCACTCCTCTCAACCCATCTCAATTCCTTGTTTTACTTAAGCCCATTCTATTTGTTTTACTTAAGCCCATTCTCTTTGCTAATTCACACCCCATCTTTCATTTGGTCTTTAGTTAAATTCTATTCATTTCTTAACTTAATTAATTTAGACTAGTTAGTTTTCTTAGGAATAACATATAGTTTTAAATAGATAATTTTAATATTTTACCCAAATCTCTTTTAATCTAAGTTTGGGTTTATTTAATTTTAGTCTTCCTTATTTTAATTAGATATTTGACTTGTAAGTTTTACTTAATTTGAAAAATATTTAATATCTCTAAAAATATGTGAAAGTAAAAATGAGAAAACTAAAAGACATGCCATTTTTCTTTAATTTATTCCCCTCATTTTGGTTAAATACCAATATAC